CACTAAGACTCGTTGGACCCAATTTTCATTTCCAACAGGATAATGCCCCCGTTCACACAGCATTGGCAGTGAGGGATTTTCTAAATAATCCACAAGAGTACGGATATTTTTTCGACAACTTTACCACTTTGAATTGGCCTGCACAGTCTCCAGATTTGAATCCCATTGAGAACCTCTGGGAGTTGATCGATTTAGAGGTGCATTCCCGACCAGTTGCTAACATCGAGGATTTATACGTGAGTATAATGGAAGCTTGGGGACAGTTCCAAGTGAACATGTGTCGGAAACTCGTCGATACCATGCCAAAACGGCTCAGAGAAGTCATCCAGCGAAGAGGTGGACACACGCATTATTGACAATCGCCACGTTCTATGTCTTCATGAATATTCATGAGCTTGCGTTTACACGGTATTCTCCATAGAGAATTCGAACGTTTTTTCACTGTTTCGTTCAGACTGCCGTTTTTATTCAATCCTGCATGACAAGGACAATTTTGTTGTTTTTATTGTGTGTAAAAACGCATATTTTATTAGATATATAAATATATTTATTCAAACCGTTATTGAGTTTATTTTATTGTATGATATCGTAGGTAGTAGCTGCCTGTAGTGTGGTGCGTAAATACTTTCTGGCGGGTCTGTAGTTGATGTCTGTCTGGTTTATTGCTCCATCAACCATCAACATGTTTCCCTAAACAAAATTTGTCATGTTCTTCTCTAGGTATCATATGCCACCACATTTTGTTCACATTTCCATTTCTGTGGCAATAATAATAATAATAGAGATTCCTCTCATTGCAGGGGTCAGTGTAAATGGCGAGATTAAACATTTTGCCGTGGTCTGGAGTCGCTATGTAAATGACACATATGAACCCAAACATGAGATTATTGAACTTTCATTTGACCCATCACAAGCCTGGCACACATACTGCTTGGTGCTTACCATGGATGATGTTGGTGACAAGGTAACTATGGCAATTTAATGTAGTCATCACATAACCATCACCTATATCTGCCTATTAAAACCAAATGTATAAATTCTTGTTAAGAGATTACCAACAGCAAATCAATGCTGCACCTCATGCTTCATTTTGGGGTAATACAGGAACTAACTATATAATGACAGTACCTTAGTGGGTTTGAAGTAGACATGGTTTACATATCACCCTTGTATTAGCATTATAGAGTTATTGAAACTGACAATAATATATTGACGAACAGGTCTGGAATCTTTTTTGTATAGATCCCAATATATTGTTTTATTTGAGTTTATAAAAAATTAATAGAATTGTTTAAATTTGAACCAGCTATCCTTTTATTTTCAATTTGTTTCTAGATAGAGTACCATGTCATTATTTTTGACATCTTCTTGAAAACTACTTTGTTACTCAATTGTTACTTTGTTTTGAGAAGGATACTCTTCAGCAGAGCTACATGTATTTTGCTACATGCTACATGTATTTCAGCAGAGCTACATGTATTTTGCTACATGCTACATGTATTTCAGCAGAGCTACATTATTTTGCTACATGCTACATGTATTTCAGCAGAGCTACATGTATTTTGCTACAAGCTACATGTATTTCAGCAGAGCTACATGTATTTTGCTACATGCTACATGTATTTCAACAGAGCTACATGTATTTTGCTACATGCTACATGTATTTCAGCAGAGCTACATGTATTTTGCTACATGCTACATGTATTTCAGCAGAGCTACATGTATTTTGCTACATGCTACATGTATTTCAGCAGAGCTACATGTATTTTAACTATTAGGTCACTTATTAATTTTGAACCATATGCATATGATTTACATTTTTAGCTCCGCTGTCGACTTTGTAGAGCGGAGCTTATCATATGAGTGATTGTCCGTCGTCGTCCGTGTCAATGTTTTACTTTTTCGACTTCTTGAAAACTACAAGCCTGAATGCTTTGATACTTGGTGTATATGTACCTTGGGTAGACCTCTCTTAGGTTTGTTCATTTCATGTTGATATCTTCAATTCTCTAATTTTGGTGAATATTTTTGTCATTTTTGGTAAAAAGTGATATTTTCGACTTCTTGTTAAAAACCGCATGTGCAATTGCTTTGATATTACATATATAGGTACTACATGTGGATCTCTCTCAGATTTGTTCATTTTGTAATAATATCTTTAATTCTCTAATTTTGGTGAATATTTTTATCATTTTTGGTAAAAAGTGATATTTTCGACTTCTTGTTAAAAACCATAAGTCCGATTGCTTTGATATTACATATATAGGTACTACATGTGGACCTCTCTCAGATTTGTTCATTTTGTGATGATGTCTTCAATTCTCTAATTTTCGTGAAAATTTTTGTAATTTTTGGTAAAAAGTGATATTTTCGACTTCTTGTTAAAAACCGCAAGTCTAATTGCTTTGATATTACATATATAGGTACTACATGTGGACCTCTCTCAGATTTGTTCATTTTGTAATGATATCTTTAATTCTCTAATTTTGGCGAATGTTTTTGTCATTTTTGGTAAAAAGTGATATTTTTGACTTCTTGTTAAAAACCAGAAGTCCAATTGCTTTGATATTACATATATAGGTACTACATGTGGACCACTCTCAGATTTGTTCATTTTGTAATGATATCGTCAATTCTCTAATTTTGGTGAATATTTTTGTCATTTTTGGTAAAAAGTGATATTTTTGACTTCTTGTTAAAAACCGCAAGTCCAATTGCTTTGATATTACATATATAGGAACTACATGTGATATTTTTTTCTTGTTAAAAACCACAATCATTTATGTTGAAAAATGATATTTTTGAATTCTTGTTGAAAACAGCAAGTCCCATTGCATTGATACAATGCATCTTGTTCATTTTCTAATGATATCTTCTGTTCTTTAATTGAAATGTGCATTGCTAACAGCGGAGCTATCTCAGCCGAGAGGCTGCTTGTTCAGAGTTTTATTGTCATTTAATTTGATAGACTGACTGGACAGTTGAGTTCTTCATTGATGACGTTGCAGCAGCTATTATGTCTGGTGTCCCACATCTGAGTGACAATGCAAAGCTTATCATGACAGTATGGAATAGATTAGATTTTGTGCCTGAGATTACAGATTTCTTCAATCCACCTACAAGTACAGCATCATTTAGGAACCTAAGGTGAGTTGATAAAGTGGGTGTTTATTAGAACTACCAACAATACAGCATCATTTAGTAATTTGAGATGAGTTGATGGAGTGGGTGTTTATTAGAACTACCAACAATACAGCATCATTTAGTAACTTAAGATGAGTTGATGGAGTGGGTGTTTATTAGAACTACCAACAATACAGCATCATTTAGTAACTTGAGATGAGTTGATGGAGTGGGTGTTTATTAGAACTACCAACAATACAGCATCATTTAGTAACTTGAGATGAGTTGATGGAGTGGGTGTTTATTAGAACTACCAACAATACAGCATCATTTAGTAACTTGAGATGAGTTGATGGAGTGGGTGTTTATTAGAACTACCAACAATACTGCATCATTTAGTAATTTGAGATGAGTTGATGGAGTGGGTGTTTATTACTGTATAACAATAAGTACAGTGACATTGTGCCATTTAGCACTATAACTGTAATTCATTCTCCATTAAATATTTCTTTTTCACTGCTTCTCCCTGCATCCCTAAATATCTGTCATTTAGAGCCATTTAACTGTTGAAGTTTGTAGCTGCCACCAATTTATCTTCCTTGATATATATGTGCCATACACGTAGGAATTGCAAATTTATCTAGGGAATTAATGCAAAAGTGGACATTTTTTTGGTAATAAATACAACCCAAGATGTTTTTAATTATACATAATAATTTTTCAAAGCTTATCAAGAACATATAAACCTGCATTTAATACATAAGATTATTCAGAAGTTGATTTCACAGGTTTTACTCAAAGTGAATTTTATGCACATTGTGTTTGTTTTTTCAGACTGCCACCATTTGTTGAAACACTGTGTCGCTATGGTGATCCTTTTCGAAATGGTGAGAATGCCATTGAGGGTTTCATGGCAGGAATTGGTTCTCAACGCTTACAAGATGATGTTGTACCATTCAGAATAGTAAGAAAGCAAGATTCCTTGGGTGAAGTGGTGACTATGGTTGACCACATTTGATCAACCATAAACTATAATCGTCTTGACCGTGGTCAGGGACACCGAATGATAGTTTTTTCTTCTAAGAGAAAATCTGACCATAATCTGAGACACCAGACATTTAATTTTTCTTTGACCATGGTCAAGTCTCATTTAACAAATCATCAATGACAATGTTCACTGATGATCTATGATATATGGCAGGATATTTGACTGATGTGGCAGGTGCCACAAGTGCTATTTTCATGGCTTCATCTCAGGGTTGTTTACCTCAGAATTCTTGTAATTTTCTATGTATCCTGTATTTCTTCTATTGTTCAGTTTTGTTAATTTTGTTCAAATTTATGAACTTGTATACCTCGACATGACTTTCAGTTTTATCCATGTTTGGGTATGTTATTTCTACTTTATCAAGAAGTAGTAACATTTTGCTATTCCCAAAAAGCATATGCTTTAGTGTGCATATTTATTTTCACTCTGCTCAAGAAAAAGCAAAGATAATTTATCTTTTCCCTACTTAGCTTGATACCTTTATTATTTCTATTTAATTCAGGTGACCAGTCCATGTATCCCATGTGTCAAGCCATGTGATTTATATAACTGTGATAGTTCCTGTTCAGACAGTACAACTAGTGTCCATCATATAGTGCTAGGAGACTTGAATTTAAACCCCGATGTTATGATTGAAGAAGATGGTCAAAATAAAACAGTACCAGTACCTTATTATCTCACTGTCAAAGGTGTAACAGGTATGATTGCTTAGTCATTGATTGCAATAATCCTGTGATGAGTAGACCCAACTGCAGATCCTACCTGTGAACGAATACAAAAAAGTGATCAGCCCATACGCTGGGTGAAGTTTGCTGCAGATTTATGAGGGATGGCAAAGTCACTGGCCAGTATATTTAAAATTTAGAAAAAGCTTGTGATTGTGTTCACTTAGTCCTGGCTGCCATAAGTAAGAATGTCACTATTAAATTGCAATTATACCCTTATGTTAGGAAAATACACAGCCTTGCCGCCTGGTTCCATTCACAGAATATTGTTTCTGTGTAATATGCATGCACTCTTCATACCAAGAGAACTTACACTTGCTATTTACACATAGACAAAAAGTCAGGTGTGACAGTAAGACACTGTTCCCAGTGAAAATATGTATATCTATATAAATAATACATGTATGCCAATTAAAGTTGAAAGATTTTGTGTGTGGTTGATGCTGTACATGTACATTGTCTCATCATATGAGTAACAATAACATCATATAATACTGCAAATTTATCTACAAATGTCACTCAATTATTTGTTATGCTATAAAGTATTCAATTAATAAAGTACAATTAATATAAAATGAAAATTCTTGATAATTATTATTTACAATGACTATATCACTAGCATGTATGTATATAAATATTTCTATAACTTTAGGTTCAGGACGATCAGCTGTTGCATCTTCCAATGGAGTGATAATTGATGTAACTCCACCAGTTATTGCTGATTTATACCATGTTGACATGTCATGGTCTGATTCAGAACCCACTGAATATCAGAGTAGTAATACTACTATAGCTGCAAGATGGGAAGTATATGACATAGGTAGTCAGGTAAGAAAATGGTTGTATAATTCATAATTTGATAATCAGACCCCAGATATGAAAGAATCTCCTCCTCTTTATTATGTGACACTGGTTGATATGAATTTCTTAAAGTTGATAGTGTTTATTCCATTTGAAATATCATAGAATTTATAAGGAATGTAAATATTTTCGAACAATATTTGCACCAAATTATCTGTATCAAATATTGTCTTATTTCAATATAATAATTACCTAATTTGCATAATATTAATAATTAATAATAATATCATATTTATATTAATATCGATGTTAATTTGTAAGAATATCTTCCAAATATTATTTTATTTTTCATAGTCAGATACTTCAAATAAAATAAAAATAATAAATATAAAAACAATGTACATAGATCATTTAGAATAATGTAAGTGAGTTTGGTTTGGTCATGAATGCCAAGATATTCTCCTGAGATTCATATCAACTCGTACAACAGATTATGACCATGGGTGTGAATAAATATAAAATAGATAACTGGCAGTTGTCTAGTGTAAATAAATACAGTTCCACAGAGCCATTTATCATACATGGCTGGACAAATCAAGTTTTAACATCACAAATACATTACACATTAGGTCATATATATATCTGGCATCTATAATACAAACAGGGACTATGTCATTGATGATGAGTTGTTACTTGTATGTTTCAGGTCAAAGATATCCAGTTTGCTATAGGCACAACACCACATGGAATTGACTTACAAGACTTCACATCTGTGGGATTGCAGTCATTTGCTTTGAATGATGATTTAGATCTCGTGAATAGAGATCGTTACTATGTAACTTTAAAAGTAACAAATAACGCTGGACTAGAAAGTAGCATGTCAACAACTGGTAAATATCAATAGTACACAAATTATGTAAACATAATGTAATTTGAATACTTATTCACAAAGCTTTTGGATTTATGAAAAAACAAACGCAAAAGTTACAATAAAACATATTCATTTCTAACTGCAATTAAATTGTCTTGTGCCTACAATAAAGAATCTGATTAGGTCTATAAGATTTTTGTCTTCTGTTATATATTCCTTAGTATTCAAAATTGGTTTGGTGGCAGTAAATTTGGTCACATAATGTTGATGATAACACTTTCTTTTCAGGTGTGACTGTGATAGCTGATTCACCTGATACTTCCAATGCCACTACCTCAACATACTGTGGTGAGCCACTTGGCGATGGTATTGAAAGATGCAATGATCAAAATGTCGTAGGTTTGTCATGGGATGCATTGGATGATGATCTCATAGAGGCTTACTGTGAGTGCAAATAATAATTACAACTTAATTAGTGATTTGCAAATATCTGATAATGTACTATTTTAGTAGTTGTCTCTGAGTTATAATGCTCATTTCGAACATTTTTTGGATGAACCCTTGTAATGTATAGCATAGTAAAGGGATTACTATGTTTCATCATATCTCATAGCATTATGAGAGTTTTATTTACTGTTTTGTTATGATCCTCAGACTTTAGTGTAGGGTCATCTGATGACAGCAATGAAGATGTAATTCCAGAAGTCCAAGTTGGATTGAATGCGTCAGGTTCAGTCCATGTGGAAAGTGGCATCCTAGTAATTGGTGAGACCCCAGCTGCTAATCTGTCTGCAATGCGAGAGAAAAATCCTGAAGAAGAGGAAACAAGATTGGAGCTAGGTTTACCTGATGTCTATACCAATAAGTTCCTAATGGAGCCAGGAAAGTAAGTGTTGTAGATGCAGATGTCTCATGTAAAATAAATTATTGTTTTTTTGTGTTCATATTCTTTCATTGTAGTTTTCATACCACTAACTACATTTCCATAGATTTGAATTTTAAAAAAAGTTCGAAATAGTTTTAATTTTCAAGTTTTCTCTAGATTACATATTTCCAGCTTGAAGTACTAACAAATTGAAACAAAACAAAATTCACAAAAATTGTGCTGTCAAATGATAGTTACCCAGATTATCTTGGCACCTGCAATGCCTGTCAATAAATAATTCTTCACACACGAGTCTGACCTAATGAAAGTGGAGCCATCACAGAAAAAAAACACAGATTCTCTTACACAGACCATGAATGGTTGAATGGTTGTTGATAGACATGAGATATTGTATGTATGTAGTACATTCCAAACAATACTTCATAGATTTAGAATGAGCTTGAATTCTGATCTTGTATGTCACGAGTTTATTCCACCAAATTACAAATTGATATAAATTATGGGTAACCATGATGAATGTTTCTTGAATTTTTCCAGAGTGTTGGTCAGCTCTCTCAAAGTCTGTAACAAAGGTCATCAATGCAGTGACTATACTGTTAAAAAAGTTGCTATGATTCGTAAGTAGAATTCTCTAATCAATTTAAATATTCAATGTCAGTCATATTATAGTACAGTGTAATGTGATTTTGTTAAAAAAAATCTCACCAATTTTATGAGCAAAAATAATGTAATCGATTTCATCTTGCTTCATAGGTGATGATGATGAAGTGGTTACATCAGTGAATGGGGAAGATGTGACTCTAAGCTTGACTCAGGATGAGAATAATGATATACCAAAAGTGACAATATCTACTTCAGGAGGTATAAAATTATTAGTGAATAATCAATAAAAATTGCTACTTAGTTCTTCACATTCATTTACATAGATAGGGGCTTGAATTATGGTAATGATATGGGTTAACACAATTCCCTGATAGCCCTTTTTCCAGTCACCAGAATGATAGGACACATTTTCACCAGTCACTAAGTTGATATGACACACTTTCACCAGTCACTAAGTTGATATGACACATTTTCTCCAGTCACTGAGATGGTAAGAAACATTTCCACCAGTCAGTAAGAGAATAGAACACATTTTCAACAGCCGGTAAGATGATAGCACACATTTTCGCCAGTCACTAAGATGATAGCATACATTTTCTCCAGTCGCTAAGATAATAAGAAACATTTCCATCAGTCAGTAAGAGAATAAGACACATTTTCAACAGCCTGAAAGATGATAGCACACATTTTCACCGGTCGTTAAGATGATATGATACATTTTCACCAGTCACTAATATATATGACACATTTTCATCAGTCGCTAAATGATAGGACACATTTTTACCAGTCACTAGGATGATAGGACACATTTTCACAAGTAACTAAGATGATAGTACACATTTTCATTAGTTGCTAAGATGATATGACACATTTTCACCAGTCACGAAACGATAGGACACATTTTCACCAGTTATGACACATTTTCACCAGTCACTAAGATGATAAGACACATTTTCACAAGTAACTAAGATGATAGTACACATTTTCTTTAGTTGCTAAGATATGACACATTTTCACCAGTCACTAAGATGATATGACACATTTTCACCAGTCACTAAGATGATAGGACACATTTTCACTAGTCACTCAGATGATAGGACACATTTTCACTAGTCACTAAGATGATAGGACAAATTTTCACCAGTTGCTAAGATGATATGACATATTTTCATCAGTCACTAAGATGATAGGACACATTTTGCACCAGTTACTAAGATGATAGGACACATTTTGCACCAGTTACTAAGATGATAGGACACATTTTCACCAGTCACTAAGATGATAGGACACATTTTCACCAGTTACTAAGATGATATGACACATTTTCTCCAGTCGATGAGATGGTAAGAAACATTTCCACCAGTCAGTAAGAGAATAGGACACATTTTCACCAGTTACTAGGACGATAGGACACATTTTCATCAGTCACTATGATGATAGGACACATTTTCACCAGTTACTAAGATGATAGGACACATTTTCATCAGTCACTATGATGATAGGACACATTTTCACCAGTTGCTAAGATGATATGACACATTTTCACCAGTCACTAAGATGATATGACACATTTTCACGATTCATTAAGACGATAGGACACATCTTCACTAGTCACTAAGATGATATGACACATTTTCACCAGTCACTAAGATGATAGGACACATTTTCACCAGTCACTAAGATGACAGGACACATTTTCACCAGTCACTAAGATGATAGGACACATTTTCACCAGTTACTAAGATGATATGAGACATTTTCACCAGTTACTAAGATGATAGGACACATTTTCACTAGTCACTAAGACGATATGACATATTTTCACCAGTCACTAAGATGATAGGACACATTTTCACCAGTTACTAAGATGATAGGACACATTTTCACCAGTTACTAAGATGATATGACACATTTTCTCCAGTTGCTAAGATGATAGGACATATTTTCACCAGTCACTAAGACGATATGACATATTTTCACCAGTCACTAAGATGATAGGACACATTTTCACCAGTCACTAAGATGATAGGACACATTTTCACCAGTCACTAAGATGATATGACATATTTTCACCAGTCACTAAGATGATAGGACACATTTTCACCAGTCACTAAGATGATAGGACACATTTTCACCAGTTACTAAGATGATATGAGCATCTGACTTGTATTAATTGTATATTTCTCACTTTTGTTTTTGATTCAGGATTACCAGCAGGTTCTTCGATGGCAGCTGGGATATTGACACCAGAAGATCTCTCCAAAGAATATGGATCAGATGCATCTAATGAATATAGATCATTTATTGTGGACCCAGAAAACACAAAAGATTCAATTAGTAGAGCTTTGACTAATAGGTGTTGTAGTGATTATACCTACATACAGTTCATTTAGTTTTCTTATAATGACTTTTCAACTGTTCATATCGCTATTATATTTTGAATGTTCTTAAAGTAGAAACTGTTGTATGTCTTGCCAGTAATAATGAGACAAATTCAGATCTGAAATATTTTTCATCAAAATATGTTTACATTCTCTTTATACCTTTTGATATCCTCAATTCTGTATTTTTGGTGAATATTTTTGTCACTTTTGGTAAAAAATTGCTATTTTTCATTTGTCTTGAAAACTACAAGCTCAAATGCTTTGATACTTGGTATCAAATGAGCTGGTAGTTTTCAAGAAGTCTTGTGGGTGTGCATTGCTCGTTTTGGTTTCACAGTGTTCTTGTAGAACAGTGGAGCTATTTTGACCATCAGGTCGCTTGTTTTGTCTAGCCAATCATTTTTTTTGACTTGTAAATGTTTTGAAATGACTCTCGTAAACAGATCTATGTTTAGGTTTGTTATTTACACACTGCTAGCATTTAAAGCCTATTTAGGAAGATATTTTGTAAAAGACTATTTATCTCTGTTTATTTTAACACTTTCTGGTATTCTTTCAGAATTGAAAAAATTCATGGCAGTGCATTTTATGTTAACTTACTTGGTGACTTCAGTACCAATGGCAAAATAAATATCACAATGTCATTCAATATGTCTGAGTTCAAAGCCGATGCAAGACCTCGCATTATCTACTGGCATACAGGTTAGTACATAATTGACTAGTTTTGAGTTTTCTGATTGCTAAGTTGACTACATTAGTGGCAGTTAGTGGGAGATTTGCCTCAGTTTATTACATGTCTTTGGTTGTAAGTGTTAAATTACAATGTATATGTAAAGAAATGCATCTTCATGTGTGTGTATTAATGAAAAATCTATATTTTATTTTATGAACATATCATAAAAAAACAATGCAAAATGAACATATCAATCAAAAGACCGCATTGACTTTCTGCAGTGATTTGGAAAATAGTTATCTATGATAGGTGTGCACTGTGAGCTTGAAGAATATAAACTTATGTGATAAATCTATTTTAGGTATGCCCTGTAAGAATGGCCTCTTCTTACCATAAGTGTATATGGGTTTCGCAATACATGTATACAACGTATAGTCATGAATACATATTGTTTTTTAGAGTATGAAGAATGGCATGATGCAAGCCATACATGTGCTGATACATTTGATCAATACTATTATGATTTAGACCAAGGGACAATCACAACCCAGGTGAGTGGAAACATTGGCTAGTCAACTCATGGACCTATATATGCGTTATGTTTCTTGCCTTTGAGAAGAGCTATTATTTAAATCAACAGGCTGCTAGTTGTGTATACTTATCATCCTTCCTTCCAAAAAGTTAGCACATTTATTTTCATGTTATTTCAGAAGTTTTAATTCAATTCATAATATATTATTTTATAAGGGATGTTGAGATTTATGCATGGTATGTAGTATTAACTGAAGACCACATAATCAAATATTAATAATTCTTTTTGTGATTTTTTGTAATATTATTGGTATCTTATTTTACTATACACTATATGTTCAGAGTGGGCAGTTTCAATCCCACTAGACAGCACCCATGGGCACAATCACTTTTACCAGTGTTACTGTAGGGTAAACGTATCAAGCAAGGTTGTAATTATAGGTATTGTATTTTTATCTACAGATTTGCTCCACTACATATGCTCCAGAAGTATTCAGACTTGCGCGTAATCGTAAACGTCGTCAGGCACCATCAGAAAACACTTTTAGTGGCCCAACGTCCTTTGTTCTGGCCAATGTAAACAACGAATACCAAAACACACCTCCTACCATTGTATCAGATACCACTATATTTATGGCAGAGGACAGTGGCACTGTTCATTTCACTATTAGAGCCACTGATGCAGAATCAGATATCATAGTATTTAGAGTTAACGAAAGTTGTCCATCACCACAACTTGGATCAGCTGACCTCAATCTAGATGGTACTTTTACCTATAGACCCTGCCAAGATTGCTATGGTGAAGACACATTTTATTTCATTGCTTTTGAGCAGAGATTTGATAATATTGATTCCCTGTCTGTGGATGGTGTTTTGACTATTATGATCACACCAGAAAATGATCTTCCAAAACTGTTCATTGTAGTGAATGGTTACAATTTAATTGGAGATCAAACATCCACTTTGGAATTGACTATGGAGCAGCGTCGTCTAGAGAATGTCCAATATCAGGATATGATAATCACAGTTGGTGCTTGGGATGTTGATGTTGAGGATGTACTTACTTTGTTATTTGAGATGCCATTGCACGGTGAGTTAGAAATAACTGAACAAAAACGCAACTTTACTTTCGTTGATGCAAACTGTACTGATGATAACAGAGACAGTGGTTCTATATGGCAGCCTGAGTGGACACTATTAGCATATCCATGTGATATGACAAACCCGTATGAAATAAGTCGACAAGCCTGGGTAGCAAGCCTCATCAGATACCGTCCCAACGATTATTACTATGGTAATGATGAGTTAAAAATCACCACAAAAGATTTTCTTGGAGCGAACTCTGAGATTGTGACTGTGAAATTGTATATCATGGAAAATAAATGTTCCCAAAACGGGAAATGTGTTGGACCAGAGTCTGATCCAGACTGTACCAGTGAGGCACGTAGTGAGGGATTTGATTCTTTGGGATATGCATGCAATTGCTCTATAGGATATGAAGGAAAGTACTGTGAAAGTGACTTTGATGACTGTGCTTCAAGACCGTGTCAATGGAACTATACTTGTATTGATCAGGTGATTAACATTTAACTGTTATGACACTATTAATTAATGCAATAAGTGTGTATGGCATGTAACAGTGTCTTGGCAATCAGTAAATTAGAATTTTTGCCATGTCTATTATTCTTTTTACATTTGCAACATTTTCAAAAAAATTATATTTTTCAGGTGAACAGCCATGTTTGTTACTGTGAAAATGCCAATTGGCCATGTGCACAGTTGTTGTCAACCGGCCAGATTGTTGGTATATCCATTGGTGTGATCGTTTTTGTTGCACTGATAGGTATCATGGTATTGATTATATATAGCAAACAACGACAAAAAAAACATGGAAAGATCAAGAAGGATAAAATAGCTAAATTAACAAGGTATGTTTAATTGTCATAGTTTAGACATGTCTACATCTTGTGCATCCGTTGTACACATAAAAAAGGTCATCAGCTATAAATAAAAAACAGGTGTGATTTGTATGTGCATTAAATGATTATATAATTTTTGCATATTCATTGTATTTGGTATAACAAATAGTGTGTACAAATCTGTATATTAATGAGTTAATTTGCATGATTATCTTTGCAGCATTTTGCTCACATGCATCAAATCAATCTTTGCATGACACTGGGGTACATCAGGACATTTTAATGCACTTCTAGAATTTATTGTGACAGATTTGTGCACAGTTAACACTATACAATGATCATTATATTTCTCAACTTGGTGTATGAAGTCAAGAAGATTGGCAAAACAGTGAAATTATTCAAATTAGGAATTTTGTTTGCACATCTGCATTTTAAAAATATAGCATCGATATGGAACACTTTACATCCCATGAAACACATCATTATAAAACTTTGTGCATCCTGTTAAACTTGGTAATATAGAACTCATGCCATAGAACATATCAACATTTTAAAATGTATGCATTTGATATAGAATGTTCAGTGTTTTAGCTAGCCAAGCTCACCATTTTTAGAATTTATGTTTGCCCACTGGACCAGATACTATTTACAGATAATCAAAATATATATTTCCAACCTGTAATAGCATTATTTCATTTTGAATCCATGATATTTTTGCACCTACTTCATCTGAAATAATGTTTTTTATTTCCTGCAGTCAGTCTCAGGCTGGTTCTGGTGAAATCTTTCCTAGGCATAAAATGTGGTTCCAAGATGGAAGACCTGAGATGCCGCAACCGATGACAACTTTCAAGAACCCAATGTATGGTGCCACTGTGACTGATAGTGGTATGCCCAGTAAACCAGAAGATGATAGATATGTGAAATCACCTGCTGGTGGTCTTGCTAGCAAGGTAATGGACCTGGAATCTAGACCCATTTCAAAACCAGCTACAATATTATATAAAACAAGTTTTCAAAAACATTTATCATTACCAAATTTAAGGCTTATTTTTAGTCCCTACTCGGACAAAGTCAGAAGAAGGGTACCGTCATTCGTGTCAACTTTTTACATTTTCAACTTCTTCTTGAAAACTACAACTCTTATTGCTTTGATACTTGGTTTAGACCTCTCTTAGATTGTTCAATTCATGATGATATCTTTAATTCTCTAATTTTGATGAATATTTTTGCCATTTTAAAAACCGCAAGTCCAATTGCTTTGATATTACATATATAGGTACTACATGTGGTCCTCTCTTGGATTTGTTCATTTCATGATGATATCTTCAATTCTCTAATTTTGATGAATATTTTTGTCCTTTTCGGTGAGAAGTGATATTTTTGAATTCTTGTTGAAAAAAGCAAGTCCCATTGCTCTGATACTATACATATTGTTCATTTTCTAACGATATCTTCTGTTCTTTAATTAAAATGTGCATTGCTAACAGCGGAGCTATCTCAGCCGAGAGGCTGCTTGTTTACTGATGTCTTCAGTTTTTTCTAACGATTTGTTCAGTTTTTCAATTGAAATGTGCATTGCTAACAACAGAGCTATCTAAGTCGAGAGGCTGCATGTTTGCATTTGAAATTCATGCAACTTTAAATTTGATCTTCATGGCATGTCACACCAATTGCATATACATGTGTATCCTTTTAGAACTTTAGTCAATATTTTCATACATATCTTATTTGATTTATTTTAGGACCCGAAGAGAAGTTCTCAGAAATCAGATATATCCTATGAGAATATTGGTTATGAGACATTCCCGGAACCCGATTATAATAACTAATGCAATGTTTTCTACTGTAATTCAATGCAATTAATATTTGATTTCAGTGTATAAATAACCCAATATTTTAGCCAGAATTTTCCAAGGAAATTTTATTCTTCTACTTGACATTCATAAAGGGCAATTGGTGTTGTACCATGCATTAGCCAGATTTGGGCCTCATATGAAGAAGATTGTTGAGATGCAATGCTGACATTTCTTTGGAAATATTACTTTGAATGCTGTGCAGAAAAAAAGAGGTGGTACCAAGATTTATATATTAGGCGAAATATGGTTCACTGCATATTTGGCCATGACCACTACAGCCATTTTGCTCAGATCAAAAGCAATTCTACAAGTGCATATACTTTCCACCATATTGAATAGTTAATACATCGTTGTGAAAAAATCAATGTGTTGATCAACAACCACTGTCCATTAATATGATTGTCTATGAAAATTTTCTATGTTTGACAATGGATTTTTAATACTGATACTACTTTGGTTTGGAGAGTTTTAGTGTAGGAATTTGGCATATACATTGAGATTACTGTAAAACATGTCTTTTTCAAGATGTCGCTAATGACTTTATTATCAATTCAAAATAGCTGCCAAACAAAGAAATCAACAATGACAAGAGAGATTTGCTAAATCAACATTTCGCTATTACGTCATTTTACCACAATTTGCTAAAATTGCATGCCGCTTTTTCAACATGTTTTACAGTAGTTAATTATTGCAATGCATTATAATCAGTAGAAATATCTTGTATTTGAGACCTAGAAAATATTAGGTTTCTGGTTATCACGAATTTTTTTCAGAATTTTAGAAAAATGAAAGAAAAATCCAATTTTCATAAAAACAAAATAAAATAGCGTGTACATCTATTTTGTGAAATAGATTGACCAGATACATACTATCTTCTAGGGGTAACTGAGTTCAATGAGCTATTACGATCTATGTAGTAAATACACACTCACACAATATACAAATATATAGCCATCAAAAGTCCAATATTACAAAGCAAACAGCTAACAAGTATACCACATAGTCCAGTCAGTAAGAGAAATATATGTAGACCTTGTATACATGAAGTGATGTCACATAATGCTAATCAGTATGCTCTGAATTCTTAAATGCAAAGTTTCTTTTGGTGGCTAGCTTGCGTTTCATTTTTAACAAGAAATGGATTAAAAAAAAAACAGCGAAGATAATAATTGGCAATGATGATGAATGTGTTATAGTTTTGTTAGTACAAATGTCTTCTCTGTTTTTTTCTCCTGATGCAATGTTGAATGAATTGGAATTTGAGAGAATAGAAATATGATTTGTAGAAGAAACATGGGCTCAACATTCCGATCAGAATATCACAGTTACCAAGATATATAAAAAGAGTAGTTTTGCTAATCTTGCTTTTGCATAACTATCCAGATTTTATTTTATTTTGAAGATAAAATCATTCAAAGATCTACTACTTATCATGTGAATCAAGTATGATGGATGAGTAACTGAATATCTGGCTACCAATTCTATGAAAATCCATGGCCTGGCAATCTGGCTTGACAATCCGTGGCCTGGGTAGCAATTTCCTCAATATTTTAGGCATGGTCTGACTCTGATTTCCAACAGAGGACTCTTAATCCGTACATTGTAGCTTTTAATAAGTTGTAAATCTTTGTAATACTTTACTCATATATAATAGAACTTATGAATAGATAAAATAGAAATGAAGCGAGTCATTACATGCAACAAATGCATATTACTTGTACAATCAATGTACATTGTATACTTCAGTTTATAGTTGCATTAACTAAACTACTAATTGTATAATGTGATTCGCAATCAATGTCACTCCACTGTAATATGCTTGGCTTCATGTTAGCAGTATGATAACCTGTGCGACAGTTGAAGTGACAATGTTCTGTGTTTCTTTCATCACAGAATCAATTTGTTATTTGTGTGTAATTAACGTAACATTTATTGAGTCCTGCCGAGTTTACACTACTGGGCAATGTTCTAGAATTAAATATGGCGAAAAACACCTTGATGCAAGATGAATTAAAGACTGGAAAGAGTTCCTTTTGTGCCCCCCATCCTTAACCCTAACCTTACCCTCCAGCACTCCTCCCCTCCTAAGAACATGTATATTTATCTAGAGAGGGCATATACAAATGAATTGGGTAACTGGGAGTGAGTGTTAAGAGTTAGGGTTAGGGATGGGGGGTACAAAAAAAACTCTTGCCTAAAGACTGTTTGATGATTCTGATAGTCAAATTATGAATACTTGTTAATAAGTTTATGATAGCTCTTGATTATATGACTTTGTTTGGGAGCATAAGCGTGGGTCAAAACTAAATATTCAGTTCTGTATTTATGCCCTAGATATCTATGTGGAATGCTATCAATGTGCTGCAATTGTATGGAATGTTGCAAACAAGTTTATTTTGTGTGGCGATATGAAATTATTGTCTTGTTTCAATTGGTTCGGGAAATGTATTGAAAATAGAAATCGTCTGTCCAACTTGCTTTGGTCTGCATTTGTCCAACTGAATCCAAGAATCTGATAAGATTTATCCTTGCCACCAGTAACTAAATTACAGAAACATACGCCCACAGTATTTCTTGAAAAATATTTTACTAACTTAAAGGTACAATTTAAATTGTGTTTCTTTGTTGGTGGATCTTGGGGATGAAACAGGACTGAAATCCAGAATTACTTGCAAATAATTTCTGTTTTCTCTATTCATTCTAATTTTAAATACATTGTAATACTTTGCGCAATAAATGTAGCTTCTAGAATGCACAATAGCCTATACTGTTTACTTCACCAAATATTCCCAACAAAGAAAGTTCTTGATCACATTTTGCCGTCTACATATTCCTGTAATGTACATCTACACCTCTCATTATTAAATGAGACATAAAGTGATTTGAACTTACTGAAACGTTCCTAAAAACAATGATTTGAACTTTCGATATTTGCATAATTCCAATATGACCGCTATATTACTATACACTTTTCTTCAAATTAGTATAGTATTTTTTCAGATATTGGCAGGTCATGTGGTCACTTGTAAGTTCAATCCTAGTAATTTATTATTTAAGAATCCGATATGACAGGCATGTTTCTCGGAAATATACTTTGAAAAAGAAAATCAGATTAGCACGAGTTATAGTTATGGTCTTCATAGTATATTTCTACATATTATACACAGTAATATACAAGACTGTTTTAAAAACATAACAATTACTAACACTGAAATATCTTAATCAAAACATACATAGTGTAATTTGTAAACTTCGAAAGTACTTACGCGTGATGATGCATAATGTATAATGAATACGATATCCTATCAGCTATGGTTCATATAAATTGTATTGTAGGCTTTAACATGACATTTTCAGAATACGGTGTATGTGACATGGTAGCTTTGTACTTGCCCAACACGTCTTTTATTGATTTACGAGAAATGATACATTAACTGCTAATCGGTATTAGTATTGTGTAGTGCAACACCGTCAGGTATTAATACAAATTACCCGGCATTTGATACTTTTAATCATGAAATATTGGATCTAGGTTTAGTGGAGTTGTTATATACTTGCATTGTACGCATTCTAAACAAGTGATTTAGGAATGTGTGACAATTTCCATATGTTTACTAGTCGATGCTCTTTTGTTAATAGTGTTTATTTTCAAATTAGTACCGTTTACTGTGAAATTGACTATGCCACGATCATTTTCAGTAATTTCAGTGCAGGGTGCTCGTGAATTTATATATTGTCTGGCTTCACATTGCTGCATAAGTTTGTTATGTAACCTTTTGTTTAGACAAACAATGAACAGAGTGTTTCAACCAAGCTGAAAGACGACCCTTTCTGAAAATGTCACGAAAATCCACTTACAACTTATTAATCAATCTCGAAATTGCAGTTTTTCTGCCAACCACATCGACGTCTCTCTCAAAATCTAAATGATAGCCATTTGAGAATTCATTTTATAACCTTTTTAGTCGGTTGTACATGAACAATCATTCCCGAAATTGTTTTCATGGCAGCCAAGTCTGTACCTCAACATGCATATAATTGATCGGTCCGTGTAAGGGAAACTCTTTATAAGAATCGATCCACAAGTTGGAAAAATGAAAATATATAAATGAATGACAAAGCGTTAGCAAAATGTCTAGCACAATCGTTGGCGGGCCTGTCTAACATTCGGAAGATCGTGGTTTTGACTGAGAAGTGGTAGTCCTATCAGGGGGAAAATTCTCTTCTCTCGGGGTTCTCCACACTTGTCAGGGGGGAATCTCGTCTCGTCTCTATATCTCGTCCCCTTGAGGTACGGGATCGGGAAAGTCACTTATACTTTACAGTCAAATAAGACACACACAACGAAATACGTTTCAGCTCTCCTCTTAGTCGGTCAATCGAGCCCTCTATAAGACACAGCGCCCTGGGGAAAAATCCCCAAGACTATCGCAAGGCTGGCCCAAGACTCTCTTAGACTGCGTCAACACTCGCCCCAAGGCTCTCCAGGACTGCACTCTCTCTACTGCGTCTGTCGTGCTGTACTCCCCAAGACCAACTCAAACTCTCTTTATTCATTTTCAAAACTCTAACCAATTACAAAACAGAATAAAGACTCTAGGGCGTAACTTTCAATCATAAAGCCAATCACACTAAGTACTGAATACGTCATATCTTTGATTAATCGTTCACTACATTAATAACTACGGGTACCAACTGTCAGAATGAGTAGTCTGAATAGCGGCGGTTATCTGGTAATTAGTTCCAAATCACTGAGCCAAGTTTCGTCCAAAACTTCAAATAGGCCTAAACGATGACAGACACAGCAATTCAGCTAATAATCAGCTAATTAAGTCGGTCAACAGATACGCAAAAACAAATTCATGACAGTCCAGTTAATTTAGCAACAAATCTCGGCTAACCTGCTACTAATTTCAAACAAGTTGGGGGATGTTGTTGAAGAAAATCTAATCAGTGGTTATTTAATTGCCATTTAACTTCTCTACTTATGAATGAACGTACAGGTGCCGGCCTGTGCTAATAATATCTGTCCAATTATTTATGAAAACGTGAACCTTTATGTTTGACGCATAAATATATTACCATGGTAGCGATGCAAATTTTCAGTGTTCTAGCTTTCTATTGGAAAATTAATTTGTATAAAGTCAGACTGTTGAATTGT